GGTGAGTCACTGCTCTGCAGGAACACTTGAGTCTCTGCTGCTGACAGACGCGTGTCTTGGAGTCGCTGCAGATAAACTGGAGGATTATTTACAGCTGGAGCAGCTTTATGAGCTCTGAGCACCAGATCACAGCGTCAGAGGAATCCATAAAAACAGGATCCAACCGTCCCACGGAGGAGAAAACTGCTTCTATGATGGAAACTGTTCTGATGAGTCACCTGAAATCATCTCAGTTCTCTTCTCCAGCTTCTAACATGTTGTGTTTATATCTGAGCTCAGGTTCTGGCTGGTTTTTGTTTTTTGGCTCAATTTAGTGTTTTTACCAGAATTTGGTGCAAATCTTTTTTTAATGATAGACACGAAGAATACAGTGAGTTTGATGAAACATCAGAGTTTGGTGACTTTTGTCTTTTTAGGGACAACGTGATGATTTCAGAGTTCTGAGGGTCAAACTGGACGTTTGATGTTTTCTGGAGACGTCGACTTGAACCTTTTACTCACAAATCAACACTCAGTCAGGTTTTGAGAGATGAATCAACTGCTGGTCGGCGGTGACAGAGCGAGTGCTTTGAGGAACCTGCATGATGATGGTTGAGCTGATTTCTGGGCGGCTGTGGCTCAACTCTGATCACAGGTTGGTGGTTCCATCCCTCCACAGGCTTTGGGCGAGACCCTGAACCTGAAGCTGCTCCTGATGGCAGCAGCAGCAGCAGCTTGGTGGAGCTCTGTGGCCGTTGGTGGATGAATGAGTTTGAAGGAGAAACACTGTAAAGCACACTGAGTTCCACCAAGTTAAGGAGATGTACACGTTCAGAACATGTACTATTATTAAACCTGTTCTTTGTGGCCTCCTCCAGATGTTTACTGTCATTTTACAGTTTTTGTCGTCACCAGGACGAAGACAACGAGCTGCACGAGGACATCCGGTCAGCTGATTCTGTCTTCAGTCACTTCTTAAAACACATTTTTATCGGTGTCCTGATTTCATCTAAGTTTCCTGCTCTGTCTGTGCGTTCTGCCTCTACCAGTTATCCTGTGTGCTGGTTGTATTTTAATTTTTAATGAATTTGTTTTTGAAAAGCTCTTTGTAACATGTGTTTAATAAAGTTTATTATGAATATAAAGCCCACTCTGTGAGGTAAACCTTCTCCGTCGCTCCACTGCAGCGACTCAACATTAAAGCCAGAAACGACTTAAGAACCTGCCGTGATCCCGTTTCTGCTTTTACTTGAATTGCAAATGCAATCACAGCGTTCCTCGTCTGCTCAGAGCTGCAGCTGCTGCAGGATGCTGAGCTCCATCTTCTACCTGCTCAGCTGATTCTGTAATCGAGGCCTCTGATTGGCTCCCGGGTCGCAGCCTCCAGGTGTCGCCTCCTCACAGCTCCCCCCCCGTCGTCCTCCTGACGTCCAGACAAACAGCAGCTGTGATCAGAGTCACTGAACCACCGCTGGTAGAGTTCAGGTCCTGGTTGTGTTCTGGAGCAGAACTTTCTTCTCGTTGTGTTTTCTAGACGCAGCAGCGACTCGTCGTCTCTTAACGAGCTGAAGGTTGAAGCTCATCAGCAGAAGCTCAGAAGACACCATGACAGCCTCCAACAGCGCGTACTGTTGTGTCAAATCAAATTTAACGTTTGACCGTAAAATTGATCATTTTAAGACTGTATTTAAAATATCAGTCAGTATTTTAAAGACAGATTATTTATTTTATGGGTTTAAAATGGGAAAATATTTTTGTAACTTTTTTACTGTATTTAAATAAACTGAAAATATCATTATGCCGCAATTTGAAGAAAAAATTCTGAATATTAAAAAGAAAAAATAGTATTTTTTTTTTTTTTTTACTGTTTTACAGATTTTCCATGTTTTGTTAAATTATGGAAAAAAATATGTAATAAAATCACAGAATAAGAATTAATAACAATTATTAATTTACACTGTAAAACATGAACTGAACAGTTAGTTGCACTTCTTCTTTTCTTAATTTGTCATTTTATATATTTTTTCCTATTTTTTGAAAGTACAGATAAAATCTATTAATGTCACAGAAAAAAGTTAAAGATGTTTGCTGTACATGTTTCAGCGTTCTGCAGGTGTTTCATACATATTTTTATGTTTTCATGGTTTTTGGGGCTTTTATTTTGACAGTCTGCTCAGAGTCCACACCAGGACAACAACAACGAGGGGCTTCAAGGTAAATCCTCCTCCCAGCTGCGAGCAGACGTCGCTCCACTACAGGTACTTAACGGAAAACTTAGAAGTGTGAATTATGCATGATGGATACTCAGGCTGCATAATTCACAGCCGCATGCATAATTGATCCAAATCCAGCCGTCAGTCTGCAACAGGATCATGAGGAACGTTCACATCTGCAGCTATCTGGGCTGAGATTCGACGGGACACGGATCCGTCATCGGGCCTTCATCTCAGAATCGACAGGCGATACCAGAGCTCAGCGAGGCCGACGAGGATAAAGTGGGCCAGGAGCTCTGGGATCAGGTCCTCCATTGTGTCTGCAGCCTGTCTGGAGATTATCGGCGCCGCCTGCTGCCCACCGGTACCGCTCTGCTGCTGATGGAGGCTCACTCATGTGAAACCACATCGTCTGTAAACGCTCGACACTCGACTGGAGGCCTAAAAGCACAAACCGGCTCTCTGGTCAGGAACCAGAACTCAGAGAGGATTTAACTCACCTGGTCTCTGCAGATTCTAATCAGACTGAAGTGTGTGGAGCGGCCAGCAGGAGGCGCTCTGCTGAGTCCATCACAGACTAAACATTCATCAGCTCACTGCTTCCTGTTCACGTCCATTAAATACGACCTGACAGTGAAATACACACCATGCAGGAGTTCATGTGTTTGTGCTGCAAGTGTCCATTCAGTAGATGTTGGTTAGAATAAATACAGACTGGAGACATTTACATGTTTACCTGTTTACCTGTTTACCTGTTTACATGTGCACCTGTCTACATGTGTACATGTTTACATGTTTACCTGTCTACATGTGTACCTGTCTAGATGTTGACATGTTTACCTGTTTACATGTTTACCTGTTTACAGCCTCAAACTCACTAGAACACGTCTCTGTTGATTCGTGTCTTTTTCCTGATTTCGTGTCTCTTTGTGAGTTTTGTTTTAATTTTGTGTCTAACTTTTCTTGTCTGATGTCGTTTTGTCTCCTCGTCCTGCAGATGTTGAACCATCTCCACGTCTCCAGACTTCTCCTGTCTGTTCATCAGATGTAGAAAGATGTTCCACCATCAGATGAATGTATCTCCACCAACTGTTTTGTTTTTTCGTCATTTTGTGTCTCAGTTCCCTTTTTTTTTTTTTTTTTTTAAACTCATCTCGGGACACTTTAGTCTCTTTGTGCTCGGTTTGTCTCGTCCTTGTCATTTTAGTTTCTCTGTTCTGACCTCATGTCTGTCCTTTCCTTCCTGGTTGGTCTCTTCTTCCTTCTGGTTTTGTGTGTTTCGGTTTTTGTCGGTTTGAGTCTCAGTGGTGACTCTAATTTAACGTTTTATTTAACCAACACAGTGAATCTGTCCTCATTCTACCTCCATCAGCCTCTGATGGTTCTGCTCATAGAAACCAGCCTGTTGCCTGCTGGGCTCCACCTGCATGAACACCTCTATCGTCTGACTTTTGTTTCCAGACCCTCACATCCCATAATATACATGCACATCTCACCCTCTGCTGGCACTCTGTGGTTCGGTGACTGTGAAGTCTCGCTGCTTTCATCGCGGCTCTAAAGCACACCGTGTCTCTGGGAGCTACAGGTGTGGTGTGTGGTACCGACCTGTGGAGGCGGTGTGTGGTACCGGCCTGTGGAGGGGGTGTGTGGTACCGGCCTGTGGAGGGGGTGTGTGTGGTACCGGTCTGTGGAGGCGGTGTGTGTCCGTACCTGAAGTCGCTGTACGGGTGGATGATCCAGGTCCCCGCCGACTTGAGCCTCTCCTGCTCCAGAGCCACCGCCTTGTGGGAGCCGAACATGCGCAGGCTGAACTTGTTGACCCCGGGCTGCAGCATGGCTCCGAACTGGCGCTGGATGAAGGTGCTCTGGTTGGAGCTGCTGTAGTCCTCCCCGTCCAGCCCCATGCCGAACCCGCCCAGCCCGGACTGCCCCGCCAGCTCCGGGGTCCCCGCCGCCGTGGTGGTGGTGGTCTCCGCGCCGGTGGCCACCACCATGACGCCGGTGCCGGTGGACGAGGTGGAGGCCAGGGCGGCGCGGGCGAAGCCCACCGAGCGGGGCGGAGGGTGGGCGGCGCCGGCGGCGGAGGAGGGCGGCGGCGGCAGCGGCACCGGGGTGGTCGGGGTGCCCGCCGAGCGGAACGGGAGGCCGTCCCGGGTGGAGGAGCTCATGATGGAGAGGCGGCGGCCGCGGCCCCCGGAGGACGCGCTGTCGCCCCCGAACGAGCCCCGCTCCCCCTCCAGGGAGGCCTGGGACAGCCGGTAGCCCGGGGACGGCAGGCTGCTCTTACTGCGCCGCTTCGAGTCCCCGTTCCGCCGGGGCAGGCTGTCCCCGCCGGAGCCCGGAGCGCCGCCGGGGGCTCCGGCGCCTCCAGCCACCCCGTCCATCGTTAGCCGGGGGGCGGAGGAGTGTGGGGGAGAAAGTAACCTGGAACTCCCGCCCCCTCAGGTGAAGGCTGCTCAGAGAGCGCCCGCGCGCATAGGTGAGATCAATGTCAGTGAATGTTAATGAGCGCGCACATCCTCCTGCGCGTCCTCGGAGGCTCCAGCTGATAGAATCCGTCTACAGATGCTCCGTTCCTCCTTCCTCGTCCTTGAAACGCTGCTCTCCGCCCGAGGCCCTCCCTCTCCGCTCCACAGCCGCCCTCAGCGCTCTGACGCCGGTCATACCGGCACCGGATTCCCGGTCTGTCGGAGATGACGGCGCTCGTCGCCTCGGTCCGGTCCGCTCACCCGGTTCCGCCCGTTTCCTCATCAATCATTATGTAAGGGACGTAGAGGTGCAAAACATGAATGAAGGACACTTAGTGCCGCCAGCAGCCGGTTCTGAACGGGCACAAACGGAACCGAACGGGCGCTCACAGTCCGAGGCGCACTGCTTCACTGAGACACGCACCACAGACACGCACACGGAACAGCAGCGCGTCAGAAGTCAGCCGAGCCCAGATCCAGCCCATGTCTGCTCCCAGTCCGCTGTCATGTCACCAGCACCTCCTTCATCACGACCGGAGCCGCTTTTATTCATCCGAACCTGTCAGGAGTTCACGGAGCGACGCCGAACCTCGTGTTCCGTCCTCACGAATCCTCCATCTCTTCTTCATCTATTCTTCATCTGTTCTTTATCTGATCTTCACCTCCTCTTCCTTTATTCCTCCTTTATTCCCACTTCTGCCCACTTTCCGTGGTACCGTGGTACCGTGTCGGGCTCCGGAGCAGCAGCCTCCCTCCTCCGGGACTCCGTCAGTCGGAGCCGCTCCTCGGAAAATCAAACTACTTGTTGAAGGCGCTCCGGTGCTCCGGTGCTCCGGTGCTGATGTCACTCCGGTTCCTCCGCCGAATTCACTTCCCGACACTCAGAGGTCGAGCGGGCACGTCCACGGAGGCGCGCGGCGCATGCAAATGCGATATTAAATAAATAAACGGGCCGTTAAACGTGTGGCTCTAATCGGCCTGTTGCCATGGCAGCCGCATCCCCATCATCCGGCCCCCGAGGCCGCATGCCCGGCCGGCGCGAGACGCACACAGCTCCTCTCGCAGGTACAGGTCGCGCGTCACATCGGCGGTGCACGCGGCCAGGGAGCGCGTGATGGAGAGGCGATGATGAAACTTTATTTAAACGAGCAGAGTCTGTGTGACAGGAAGAAGAATCACGACAGGAGGCGAAGAAGAAATAAAGACAAACTCAGCTGGTTCTCCGTTAACAAGAGCTGAAGGTCCACAGACACGGAACCTGTCATCAGACACCTGGTGTGGATGTAAAAGACCTGAGGAGGGTCGCAGCAGGCTGGAAAAATAAATGAATGAAGAAATCATAAGGATTCACTGAAACACACACACCTGCTGCACAGGTTCACAAAACTGGTTCAAACGGTTCAAACGGTTCAAACGGTGACAATCACGTCAGATTTTATAGTTTTACTGTCAGAACACTGATGTCTGAGGCTGACTTTGTTTTCAGTTTTGTCACAATGAACGTTTAAAAAACTCTGATTCATGAGATTTTATCTTTGATTTAACAAAACAGGAAAACTTGTAAAAATAAAAGTAAACTGTTAAAAAGACAAAGTGCTTCAGAACAACAGCTGGTTCATGAATGAGGAACACCGTCAACCTTCAGCTGGTTTCAGGTCCGCTCTCAGGTCCGGCTCGGTTTCTGAGGCTGTGTTCTCATGAAACTCTTTAACTTGAGCAGAGACAACAGGACAGACTTATCTGGACCAGGATCCAGGATCCAGGACCTCCTCCACCATCCAGGACCCACAGAGCTGGTTGAAGAGTTAAACCCAAACCAGAACCATCTCACCTGAGCTGACTGGATCCAAACCCTGTGTTTAGCAGACCGGACCACAACCTGGACTTTCCTTCTACTCTCACCTCCTCCAGGCTTCCTCTGTTAGCATTAGCTTAGCTCGCAGGTGTGTCTGCTTTATGACCTCACTTCCTGTCTAACTTCCTGTCAGGTAGAAAAAAGGGCTCTTCTGTCTGTTTTCTTTCCTTTTGTCCAGCGTGTTGTGTGAACAGGAACAGCTTTACTCTGCAGGAGCTGGAAGAAGACAAACATCTCCTCATGAAAACATCGAAAGCACAAAATCCCACGAGAGCTCCTGCAGAGGAACGGCGTGAAAAGTCCACAAAATGACCCAAAATCACTTCAGTTTGGAATAAAGAACTCAAAACTTGTTCTGAATGGTTCAGAATTTGGCCCAAATGAGTAATGATTGTTCACATTTTAGAAATTGTCCAAAATAACTTCACATTTTCCTAAAATTATGCAAAATTTCTCTTAAATGTCTCAAACTTTGTCCAAAAGTTCTCTTCATTTTTCAAAATGCTTTTAGAAAATCATTTGAATTTTGTCTAAATAAGTTGAAACTTATCAAAATGACTCAACATTTGTCCAAAATTATCTTTTTTTTCTCCAAATTGACTCAAACTTGGACAAAGTTAAAAAATAATAATAATAATTTAAAAAATGTCCAAAATGACACAAATAATTGTTTGAAATGACCAAAGACTTCATGAAATGGCTCAAAATGGTCCTAAATGATTTAAATTGGTCCAAAATGACTCAAACTCGTACTAAACTGATTAAAAATGTGCACAGATCCTCAGATTTTATACCAGAATGACTCAAAACTCATCGTAAAGACGTCTTTTCCAGAGACGAACCAACACGACGCCTGCAGCAAGCAGCTGAAGACCAGAGACGGACCAATGAAATATTTACAAGTCAAAGATTATAATCTCAGCCATAGAAGGACGTGTTCCTGCTGCTGGGATGAAACAGGAACTCCTGATTAGTGGTTTTTAGCTGGACATCAGAACAGATATTCTGCTGGGATGTAATCTGATTACTGTTATCAGGAGTCATCACGTCTCGTATTCATCAGACTAAAGGCCTAAAGGTGTTTCTGCTGAAGTGGACCTCAGGGGGACTGAAGGTTCATCAGCTCCAGAGCAGGAGGATGAAGGACGGTCGGACTCCAGGAACAGGAAGTGATGTCATGACTGTATGCTGCAGATGTCATCATCGGGGCGATCTGAGCAGACAGAGGAGGCTGGAGTCCGTCCCTGCAGCTGATCAGAGCTGAGACGTGGTTCCTGCTCAGAGATGAGCTCCGGAGGAGAAGCTCATTACGAAGAGACAACAAAGGAGACGTTCAGAGACAGAAAGGAGGCTGGATGAGCATCATCCTGAGGATTAATGCTTCATCGGTCGGCTGCTCAGTCCATTAAATGTCAGGACACGGTGGACAACGTGGACCAGAGGGACCAGAAAACATTCACTCCCACCAGTTAATCAGCCGTCCATTCATTTATTAGCTAATCGATTAGTCGATGAACCGTGTGAATGTAGTTCAAATTTAAATCAAAATTCAATTTAATGTGAATTGTTCTATTTTCATATTTAGTACAGTAATGTTTATGACCA